CTTTGCCAAGTATCTATTTAGATGTTGCTTTTAATTACTTCCAATTCCTAAATAATTCCAGGATAATTGTGCTAAGTGATTAGAAATATGTGACAGACAGCTGCTCAATAGAAATTAGTAGAAATATTTAACTCTGGAACTATGCTTTGTCCTGTTTTTAAAAAGTTTAAGTTTTCATTTGGATTCTATAAGTAGTCAAGTGTGATGAAACCCAAGTAGATGACTAGAATTATGTAAAGTTCTGATTTTTCCCTTGCTGTATTCAAAGCAGTTGTCTTCCATTTTCCTTGTGTCCTCTGTAAATGAACTTGGACTACACAAGTCTAGTCATTTATTTCTGCACCTGTTTCTGTCTGAGAGCAAAGACTGTAGCATATTTACCATTCTTAAATAGCTTACACAAGTATTAAAATGGCTAACCATTGTTATTCATATAGCAGGTGTCTGCACATATCATTTGTGATGATACTTTTCATATTTGAATAGTATAGTAGGATATATTAGAACCTGATGACCATTGTTTAAGGAGTAGGCTCGGTATGAACTATGGGACTCTAGTGGAAGTCCCAGGTCCTGCAGTGGTGTTTTGTGGACACAGCCTCTGTGTTAGGATCTCACTCTCCGGAGTAGCTAGGATTATAGGTGCCTGACTATAATTAGTGACTCTTTGATACCATAAAACATAATTAAATTTTAGCTTACATAAGATACAGAGCCTTGGAATCAAGCTAATGCTTTAAAGCATGTGTTTGCCTACATGCCATGCCTTTTTGGTCATAATGAACGTACTGTGTGTGAAACATTGGTGCAAAGGAGGATGGGTTCAGTTTTTGAGATTACAGGGGACTGTCCCAATCTAAATAAGAAGTAATAAGGGGATGGACATGAACAAAACCTTGGGAATTGCCTCCAGGAAGAAAGGCTAGAGAAAAACAGGAATTGAAGTGTGCTGGCTGTGGGGGAGCAGTGGAGGGTGACCACCACCGCAGGGTGCGGCGGTGCAGTGTGGAAGGGGGGAGGGTGATCACCACCTCAGAGTGCAGCTGTGCAGTGTGCAGGAGGACCATGGAGGGTGACCACACCACAGGGTGCAGTGGGGAAGGGGGAGGGTGACCACCACCTCAGGGTGCAGCGGTGCAGTGGGGGGAGAGGGGAGGGGAGACCCGTGCTACCGTGCTGAGGGCTACCCTCTAGGAGATGGTTCACAAGCTCACTCACCAGGTTCTCTGTGTTTACAGAGTTAACAGGGAGTAACTAACGTCACCACAAACTGATGAGTTGTAGAGATGCTTGTGTGGCCTGTGAGATCAGCTCTGAAGACATGACAGACAACTGAGATCAGGGCAAAGGCCAGCCTTCACGTAGGAAACAGGAACCCAAGAGTAACCCAGGAGAGGCGGCAGAGGAATGATTGTTGGCTGTCTCTGTGTCCTTCACAGAACACATCTAGTTTCTCTCCCGCTGAGTAACCCGTTTGGTAGTGACTAAGGCATCATTTCTCTTGGTGGTTTATGAAGCTAGTGCATCTCAACAGGCAGAAAACCCTGACAGAAGATCCTTGTCTTCCCATGGCACTTCTCATAAAGTTCTTGTCACAGAGTACATACTTTCAGGAACAGTGAATTATTTCACTCACCGGAGATGGCCAAGACTTGGGATCAGCTGAATTGTTCAGACTCTAGGACCCAAGTTCCATCCTGAGAGCCAGCTATTTCTGCTTTGTTGAAGGATGCAGGTCGGGAACCCCTGTCAGCACAAGTCAGCTGAGGACCAGAGAAAGATGACACTTGAAAGGGATCAGGCACTTGGTTTAGCTGCTTGCTTCCCAAGACATAGTGTCTTTGTCACAGTACTTGGACATGTCACCCAGGATCATCAAGGACAGACTGATTCCATCTCGGAGCTCATGCAGAGAGGCCCCTAGCCACTGTCCCTTGGCCCTTCCTCTGCCCTCTGGGCCAGAGGTAGCTCTTTTTTTTAATGAGAAATAGCGTTGCTTAGAAACAACATTAATATTTCAGGTTATCAGGTTTCCAGGGAAACAGTCTGGAAGGTTAACTGCAGGCTGCTTTTTTACGGAAAAAGAGAAAGGCTTTGTTAACCCTCCTTTATTTTTTTTTAACGTATAACAGTACATTTACATGGAAATAAAAAACATGAAGAAAGAAGAGATCAATACTTAGAGAGTGTCATTTAGATGGTCTGCACATCAAAATCACAAAAACATGCACATAATTAAACTTGGAGAAAAATTGGTATTCTTAAAAATAAAGTGATATAAAAGAATAACAGTTAAATGCATCATCTTAGAAATATGTTTGTTGTTAAAATGTAGTCTTGATTTCCCAAAATTTGTAATAACATCACCTCTGAACAGACACATCGTGTCAATAATCAATACTACCTTAATTTTCTCGTAGCAATATAATTCTTTCATCTACATGAATCTTTTAATATGCCTGCTCTCAAGCAGGTGTAAGAAATATTATCCTAGCTTTATTTTTTTTCATCAAAGGTAGAACATTATAAAGGGTAAGTATTTATCTTGAGGATCTTATTGATAAGACCATAGAATTTAAAAATAAGAAAAGATAGCCAGGTGCTGGTGGCTCATGCATACCTGTAATCCTAGCCATGCAAGAAGCTGATAGCTGAGGATTGTGGTTCAAAGCCAGCCTGGGCAGGAAGGTCCATGAGACTCTTATCTCCAGATAATCACACAAAAAAAGCTGGAAGTGGTTCTGTAGCTCAAATGGTAGAGTGCTAGCTTTGAATAGAAGGAGCTTAGGGACAGTGCCTAAGCCCAGAATTCAAGGCTCAGGGGTGGCAAAAAAAAAAAAAAAAAAGAAGAAGAAGAAGAAAAGAAAAGAAACCTGGGTCTGGGTGCTAGTGGCTCATGCCTATAATCCTAGCTACTCCAGAGGCTGAGATCTGAGGATCATGATTCAAAGCCAACCCACTCAGGAAAGTCCTGTGTGACTCTTATTTCCAATTTCCAATACCAGAAGTGGCACTGTGGCTCAAAGTGGTAGAGCACTAATCTTGAGCAAAAGAGCTCAAGGACAGCATCTAGGCCCTGAATTCAAGCCCCATGACCAAATATCTGTATATACATCTATATGTATATATCTTTATATCTTTATATGAAAAGATGTATCTAAACACATAAAGACATCTGGACATAAAAAGCACAGTATTTGTAAAAGAAGTGATTGAAAGTCAGTAAACCAGATTTCTGAAATCATTCATGATATATATGTAGATTATTACAAAGCTGCAATCTACCCAGCTCTAAAGAGTCAAACATGTATCATCCCTCCAAATTAAATGCTCTCCAGTAACTATGGCTTTGATCAATATATTAGACAATTTCTCCTTCATTTACAAAATAACTTCTTAATTTAGAAAAGTAGAAATGGAACGTTTACTGAATACTGGCTTAGCCTCTGTGCAGTTGACTATTATATGCAGTATTTCAGTTTCATTGACTATCAGACCATCAGAGTCTATAAAAGGATGATGATATATCTTAGTGGTTGGCTTGTGGTATTTTTTTTTAACCAAGACTGAGCAAATTTAGTAAATAATTTTTTTTAACTGCTGCCTATAGGAAGTTCACATGTACCTGCCCGGGCTGGCTTTGAACTGAGATCCTCAGATCTCAGCCTCCTGTGTAGCTAGGATTACAGGCATGAGCCACCAGCACCAGACATTGTTACATTGTATTTTTAAAGAAACAGTAACCTATGTGCTAAATACTGTAGGGTTATAGCACCGGTGTGTCTTTCTCAATGAATGTGTAAATAGACTATGTAATAGTTTATATATGGAGATATGGTCTAATTATTTACATATGTCCTGTATGTAAACAGAATATGTGAATTATCAAAAAACATTTAAATCCTACACAATGCCAAAATTAAAGTCTCTGTTTCTGCTTTGGTTGTTTTACAGTTCAGGGCAAAAAAAAAAAAAATCATGTTTGGATTGCACAAGTGCTCTACTGCTGACCTATATCCCCAGCCAGTCTTACTTTACTTTGATGTGAGATGTTAATGCCAGTTTACTGTCAGATTTTCTAATAAAAAATTCTGGGAACAAACCAAAATCATGCAGATGTTACTTGTACATAAAAACCAACCAAGTTAAGTTATGTGACCATATATGTTAACTGAGGCTTATTTTCTTTAAAGAAATATAAATAACTATTATAAATCATTGGCAAATAACTGGTAGATGGTAAAATGATCCTTTATTAGCCATATTTAATATTTAGAGAATCAGGTATTTTTTGCATCTTTTGCGGTTTTCGTTTTGTTTTTTGTTTTTGTTTTTGTTGGTTGTGGGGCTTGAACTCTGGGCCTGAGCACTGTCCCTGAGCTCTTCAGCTCCGGGCTAGTGTTCTACCACTTGAGCCACAGTGCCACTTCCGGTTTTCTGGTGGTTAATTGGAGATAAAAGTCTCATGGATTTTCCTGCCTGGTCTGGCTTTTTATTTAACAGTGATCCTCAGATCTCAGACTCAGGAGTAGCTAGGATTACAGGTGTGAGCCATCCGCCTGGCCAAGAATCAGGTAAACAGGTTTTGTTTGCCCCTTCCAAGTGCTTGTCCTCAGCATTCCACTTGCTACCACTAGGTGGCAGTGTTGGTTTGTGAAAATGTAGAAAAGGTGACAGGCTTTTGGTTCAAGTTCGAAAAGATTCATTATTCAGTTACAATATATTTTTCTGTATTGTGAAAAAGAAATGGCATTAAATTATATCAGAGTGTCCCTGTTTAAAGTCATCTAGCCACATAGTAGTTTACCGGAGACAGTGGATTCACAGGTATGTTGGAATCGTGCTGTTTGCCTCCTGCCTCTTATGCCTGGAGCATTGGGGGATGGCCCCAGCTTTATCTCCTCAGATGTAAAACTGGGAATGCCATCAACTTGTTCTTCCATCAGGTCAGTGAGAACAGAGAACACATAAGCACTTTATATAAGCAAATGAACATAAGGTCCCATGTATGGACTTCCATTCACACAAAGCTTGTTTAACATAAACCAGAAGCATTGGAATGTTTGCCCGTCATATGTATGGTTTGGAAAGATTAGGCAGACTGGAAACTACTGAGACACGAAGGGGCAGGGAAGATTAATGGGCACGAGTGATATCAGCTCCGAGGCCACATTGTAGGTCAGACTTTTACAATAAGCAGTGTGTATGAATCATTGATATTCTCCCTCTTTCCCTCTTTAGGATACTTACAGAGAGCTACAATGGAAAAGTCCTGGATGTTCTGGAACTCCATTGAAAGATGGCTGATAGCCTTGGCTTCCTGGTCTTGGGCTCTGTGCCGCATTTCTCTCTTACCTTTAATAGTGACATTCCATCTGCATGGAGGCATTATCTTGCTTTTGTTAATATTCATATCAATAGCGGGTATACTGTATAAGTTCCAGGATGTATTGCTTTACTTCCCAGAACAGCCATCCTCTTCACGCCTTTATGTTCCCATGCCCACCGGTATTCCTCATGAAAACATTTTCATCAGAACCAAAGATGGAGTGCGTCTAAATCTGATTTTGATACGATACACCGGGGACAATTCACCCTACTCCCCGACTGTCATCTACTTTCACGGGAATGCGGGCAACATAGGTCACAGGTTACCAAATGCACTGCTTATGTTGGTTAACCTCAAAGTGAATCTTTTGCTCGTCGACTATCGAGGCTATGGGAAAAGCGAAGGTGCAGCCAGCGAGGAAGGACTGTATTTAGACTCAGAAGCCGTGCTGGACTACGTGATGACGAGGCCCGACCTTGACAAGACCAAAGTTTTCCTCTTTGGCCGTTCCTTGGGGGGGGCAGTGGCTATTCATCTGGCTTCCGAGAATTCACACAGGATTTCAGCCATCATGGTGGAGAACACCTTTCTAAGCATACCACACATGGCCAGCACTTTGTTTTCATTCTTCCCAATGCGTTATCTTCCTTTATGGTGCTACAAAAATAAGTTTTTGTCCTACCGAAAAATCTCCCAGTGCAGAATGCCTTCGCTCTTCATTTCCGGACTCTCTGACCAGCTAATTCCACCAGTGATGATGAAGCAGCTCTATGAGCTCTCCCCGTCTCGGACTAAGAGGCTGGCCATTTTCCCAGAGGGAACGCATAACGACACGTGGCAGTGCCAAGGCTATTTCCCTGCACTGGAGCAGTTCATCAAAGAGGTGGTGAAGAGCCATTCTCCAGAAGAGATGACAAAAACTGCATCCAACGTGACCATTATATAGTGTCCCCATTTTTCTGATGAATGCATTTGTATTTTAATTTGTGCAGGATGATAAAGAATGTTCCTTTCTAGAAGCGTGTCATGTCTGTACTTGTCTGAAGAGTAACATTAAATTCTGAAAGGACCTCAGTGCTCCTTTATGATCATCCAAATGGTTTTATTTTTACTTTTGAAGAACTGTACTTTTTGGGTTATGGTTATTTCATACAAAACTTTCAGTGTGCTTTGTATCCATAACTTTTGTTTACTATGTCAGTATAATAGAGATTATTCAAAAGTTTCTTGTTGCATAAGTGATTTGATGTCTGTTCCACTTAAGGTGTGACAGAGGTAGGAGAACAAGAGGCCTTAGGCGTTATTCCTCTTCTAGTAATTATTGGGACAATCATGGTATAAGCAAACTTAGTTCTGTAACTGCATTTTTCACCTTAAAAGTTAAAATGAAATGCATGATGGTATTTTATTCCTCAACTTATGCAACGCAGCATTTTTAATGTAAATAGCACTGGACATATACCAATGTATATGGTTACCTGGGTTATATCTATTTTTATGTAAACTCTATTTTGTTTTTGCAAAAAGTGGAAGTGAGGCCTCTGTGCAGGTTGCCCTTGAATTTTTCCCTGGTAAAGGCTGAGATCCAGCTGTTTCTTATGAATAAATGGGACTGTGTTTTCCAGTATACATGTACCGTGTTTTTGTTAGGTACAGTCTGGATCATGGCTGATAGAAATAGAGAACTTTATTGCGGCTCTTTGTGCATAAACTTTTTAACATTTGTAATTTTGGTGGCAAAAAATTTTAGCTTCTGTCAATTTTGTAAGTCTACAGCTGAACTACTAATCGTAGTCATAATAAAGATTAGAACTTAACTAACAATTAACCTAGGAAACCTTGTTACATGATTGTACATACTATTTTATCAAATTTCCACACTGAAGTCTCAGTATATAGGTGTGTGCACCTAACCCATCAGAAGCAAGATACCATTTCTTAGGATTTTTTCACAGACTAGGGCTCTACTACTTCAGTCACACACCTCCTTATTGGGCCTTTTGAAAATAAAAGTTACAAAGGTTAAAAAATAATGTTTGCTTAATATTCTAGTTGATGTGAAATAGAATTACATCAAGAGGCTATTTTAGGAAACGTTATTTATTCCTAGTTTTTTTTTATTACATGTGAGAATGAAGGAATTCCCAAGCCTTCTGACATAGAACCTATTACCACATTAACAATTTAATGGCTGTAGGTGAGAAGTAGTATTTAGACATATAGAAAAGTAAGGAAAAGCCTTCATGCAGAAAGGAAGCTGCTTGAAACTTGCAAGACTTCCTTTACCAAAAATATAAGCTATGAACGAATGTTATGCCAGGTTGTTGCAAACAGTCTTCAAGCATTAGGTATGATTGAGTTCTGCACATTATTATATCAAGTTGAGCATAGAATATTTTAGCTGTATTTATTGGCTTTCTTCAAGCAGCTAGAGCAGAAAAATTAGGAGTCACTAATTTAAAGCCTCTCCCTGGAGATAGGACTAGAGATACTTTGCCAAGTAGAATTCTTAACATATTCACTTTATCCCAGTGTTTAGGAAGAGATAAATTATATAAAGTGTGATTTCTAAAGAATGGTTTTCTATAAATTATTATAAAGTCCTGGTTTTTAGGAGTTGATAACTCCTATTATGGGAGGTGTATTTTGTATGTATAAATTCACCACAATTAAAGGCTACTTTTTATCTTGTCATTCCTTGCTCTGTGGAATGACTGTCCTAAATCGTGATGAATTAAAATGGAAAAAAATAATGCAACAAAATAGTATATTTAGGAATGAGCTTTCATGGTACACCTTATAATGTCTCATGGTTTCAAGTTTACAGAGTGCTCTGTACACCTCATGTTTGCATGACATCATGCAGTCTGCACACTGGAGGAATTCCAGCAGCTTTAATTGTAAGCATTATGCTGGTGAACTATAAAAACTGCATCCATGTTTCTTATGCCTTCCTTTATCTTTCCCTTCATTCATCCCTCCGTCTTTCTTTTTTTTTTTTGATACTTTAGAACACTTGTGCAATCTCTATTTTCATTCTTCCGTTAAAGACCTTTATTTCTGCGGCTAAGGGCAGAGGTTATGTTTAGGATTGTATATCTTTATTTACCAACTAATGTGTTTGAGACTGTTTTTCAGACAGTTGGGATAGAAAACAAACAAGTATTGTCAGCAGCCATGAAGCCTCTGGCAAGAGTTTGGAAACCTTTTCTAATTTTGTGGCCAGAGACATTGGTCTTGAACTCTAGGACTTCAGCGTTAGTCATACCTTTGTTGTTGTTGCTTCATCTGTAATGGGGCTGGCTTTGTGTCCATCTTGCATGTTAATTTCTGGCTTATGTGTACAAGAGCAACTGTAAACATTCAGGAATTACTTTAAAGTACTGAAAATTTGGGAATCATAATCTTAAGTATACAAGAGAAAACTCGGTTAGGAATATAGTCTAAAAGCCCCATTATTTTAAGGAAAATTACTGGTGTGGTAGGGGGAGACAGTATGTATGGTTACAAAAAGTATTCTAAAAAGAATAGCACAAACTAAAAGAAGAAATATTTATGACAGGCAGAAGAATGCTGACAGGATAGAAACCACTAGGCAGGAAATGTGACACAGTTCCTATTTAACTGATAAGGTTAGTGAAAGGGAACTAAAAATATTTAGAGGTAAAGCCTTTGAAGGCAGACAGACAGGGTACGTGACACTGCAACTCCTAACATTTTGACTTTTTAATTTTTATATTTTCATTAAAATACTGTCCTCAATTTTGTCACTGAGCAGCTTAAGTTTGTGTTGAGCTGTAGTCAGCTTGATTATTGTAAGAATTACAACTCTGGCATGACATCACTGGGATGATTATGATACAGAGAATTTATGCCATCTGTTACATTTGTGAGATTCGGCTATGGTGGGAGTAGGTTTGATGTAATCAATGAGGCAGTCATATTTGATTTTATATAGACTGTCTTGCAAGGGCAAATAGCAGAGTTTGGTTCACGTGGTTCTCTTCCTTGAGGTTAAGAGTAAATTTGAACTTCTAGAAAGATGTCACAATTTGACTTAGGACACAACTGAGGTATTGAAGTCCTCAATCTTCACTATCCCTTTTTCCTCCTATAGTTGATAATGATGGAAAAGAACTATGAAAGGGAAGATGAGTAATAAATTGCCCTTTGATTATCCACTTGAAGTTACATGCATTTTCATATCACTCAGGTAAAGTTGGGAATGACAGAACAGGTGTCTATTTTTTAAATTCCTGGGGTAGCGAATGTTTATTACCATAACATGCACGTCATCTTAGCCAGTCAGAAATAATCCGTTTGTATGGCAACGTAAATACTGTCATTCTAATTCTGATCGACTCATTTTTGCCAAATAGAGGAGATATACCTCCATTTATATTTTGTACCTTAAAAATAGAGATTAAAAATAGGATTATGTACGACTGACACTTTTTTTTACAAAGAGTGCCATAAATACAGATGTGACGGGTGTGTGTTTCACATAATTTATAACAGTTTCTGTCAGTACAGCATATACTGAATAGTAGTTATTTTCAACATATTCAAGTATATTCACAATAAGTAAAGTGAATCATTTTGTTATCTGCCATATTTTATTGGAAATAGTAATAAAATTTTATAACAATATGGAATGTCAGAGTACATTGTGTGCAAACCATGGCAAGGAAAAACATTTACATTTTTTTTACAATAAACTTCTTTTAAAATATACTTCCTATTTTTATGTACTGACAAATGCAATAAATCACTGAAAGTTCGATTCATGTCTTAAGATAGTTTGTATTTAGTCTTAAGAATTTTCTGCTAATGTAAATTCTATCATAGGATATTGAAGTTTCCTCCAAATGGATAAATAAATTTCCTGAGTTTGCACTGAAATGAAATGACTTTAATTCTACTGGTGTGGATAAAAATAGAAATTATGTTTCTGTCTCCCTCAAGAGTGTTACCCTCCTGTATGCATTTAATGTAGCTAGCATTAGAACTGTTCTCTATGAACTGCTGCTGAAAGGCTGGACCCTAAGCCTCCCTTTCATTGACTGGCTCTGGGAATGGATACACTGACCATTCTAGTCTTGTTCTAGCCTTTAAGGTTCATAAAGTGCTTTTCCAAGAAATTCTTAGGCTTTTTCTTCTTCTATCTGTTTCAGTTAATGGCATCAGATAATTAAAATGGTGTGATATTTCCTTGGCCTTTACAGGTCCATAACCTGTATTCTCTAACGAGGCACTTGCATGCTTGAGTATTTCTTCAGCACAGTTAGGATTGGAAGTGCCCCGAATCCTTGAGCCATCCCCAACATGTGACGTAGGAGGTAGAACTCCTACTGTGCTGAAAGATCCCAAACCTGAGTCCAAAGGTGAAACACTGCTTCCTAAAGAGTTTCTCTCATTTTATTCTCCAAAAACTTGGTTTCCTTTCTGCTAAATCCTGACAAGCATGGAATTAGACATAAAGATAGGACTTGTATCTGGGGAGCTGGGTACAGAAGAAAGAAGGTCAATGTGTTTGTTACTGAGACCTCACTACAAAAGTCCAAGTAACTTGTGTTCCACTACATAAAAATCAAGCTCAGATAGTCGACAGCATGATCAGGGAGGGCCAAATGTATGTGCAGATCTCCCATTCCAAATCTAGAATGACTGTGCATTTGGCATTGATGCAAAACCGTTGTTGAAATGTTGGGGTTAAAAGTAGGCTCAGGATCCCTTGCAAATGACCGCTGTGAACTGAAAGTTAGCAGCATGCATTAGAGTACATTTCCCTTAAAGTAGTTAAATGTGTAGAGATGTAGAAAAATTTAGATGTTGACATAAGATCTGTCCCCATTCCTTTGCCTCATAAATAAGCAAGCCCCAAACAATTTAGGAGTCATCCTAATAAAGTAATTCCTGATGCTTTCAAATGTGGTCTTGCTGTTTCTTTTTCACAACCTTCCCACTGGTACCACACCAGTCTCTGAAACTTTTCTGATAGCTGACATTTTCTTTTTGGTCGGTCATGGGGCCTGAACTCTGGGCCTGGGTGCTGTCCCTCAGCTCTTCAGCTCAAGGCTAGCCCTCTGCCACTTAAGCCATGGTCCCACTTCCAGCTTTTTCTGCTTATGTGGTGCTGAGGAATTGAACCCAGGGCCTCATGCATGCAAGACAAGCAATACTGCTGAGCCACCTTCCCAGCCCATAGCTAACATTTTCATTGAGTGCTTAGTATGTACAAACCAGTATTCTGCATCCTTTTTGTCATTTGATGTAGTCCAGGCTGGCCTGGGATTTGGGGTCATCCTGTCTCACGGATCCCTAGGTGGGGAAGCAGAAGGGGCATAATTATAGGCATGCACTATTGCAGTAGGCTTGTCATTAAATGAATAGTCTACAAGCTGATTTCCACATCCCTGGTACCACTCCACTTCCAACAGCCATTGACTCTGTTCATTCTAACTTAGCAGGAAAACTCCATCCATTTTCCATCCTCATCCTAACTTGGCAGGAAAACTGCATCCAGTCTCAATCCATGGGCAGCCAGCAGTTACATGGCTCAGTAAAACAAGGTCAGACTTCACTGTCCAGAGCCCTTCGAAGTTTAACATTCTTGGAAAAGTTCTT